ATTGATATATATATTTAAATGATTCCCTGCATTTCTGTACTCCTCTTAACTTTTGTTATTTTCAACAGCGTTCACCGCCTCCTATACAATAAGAGCTGCTGCAGCAACAGCTGCTGCAGCAACAGCAGCTAGTTAGTTGCTGCAGCAACAGCTGCTGCAGCAACAGCAGCTAGTTAGTTGCTGCAGCAGCTGTTGCTGGTGCTGCTGCTTCAGTACTTTAGCAGCAGTAGGAGTACTCGCTTATCTCTTTTCAGCTGTCTGCGCGGTTTGCGTCTCTCTAACCACTAGCTAGCTAGCTAGCTGCCTCTCTGTCTATTTAGTTGTCTCTAGATCTCTGTCTGTATGCCTAGCTAGCTAGCTAGCTAGCTAGCTGGCTGCCTCTGCTTCTCTACATAGCTGTCTATCTGTCTCTATAACTAATTAGCTGTTTGTCTTTCTAGATAGCTAGCTGCTTGTCCTTCTAGCTAGCTAGCTAGCTAGCTAGCTAGCTAGCTAGCTAGCTAGCTAGCTGCTCGTCTACTAAAGGAATCCCTCTCTTCTCGTTTATTCATTTTGAGGTTTTGTTCGCTGTATACTTAAATAAATAAATCTCTAAAATAAACAAATAAACAACCCAACTAACCGCATGCATGCAGCATGCAGATATGTTGAGTGTATATGATGCCTATATATAGGTGTATGTATATATATATATATATATATATACATATATGTATATACATATATATGTATGTTTATATTTACATATATATGTGCCTATATTTCATATTATATAAATATATATATATATATATATATATTTAAATGCATGCATGCATATATATTGAATATATGCCTGCATATCGAATGCATGCGTCTACAATGATATATATATATATATATATATATATATATATATATTTATATTTATTTATATATATTTATATACCATATTAAATGCATGCGTCTAGCGACTAAAATACTACAAAGAGCGACGCTTCAGCAACGTAGCAGCATGTGCTGCTTCTGCTGCTGCTGCTTCTGCTGCTGCTGCTCTTCTGCTTTAAGGGGTTCTTGGTCTTGAGCTGAATAGCCTCCTTCTTCTTTCTGCGTCTCTATCAACATGTTCTCTTGTCTCCTGCACTCTGGGGTGGTCCATATATTCTTTTAACATTTCTTCTCGTCTTTGTCTTTCAGTTTTTTTGTTGCCTTCTTCAACTTTAGATCCTAATAAATTCCTTACTCTATCTGCTTTTCCTGGTGTTCTTGTCACGTTTAAACCTAATGCTTGTCTTCGTGTTTGTTCATCTCTGTCCTCAGCGTCTTGCGATCGGGCTTTTACTAAGCCGGACGGCGGCATCCCTCGGGTTTCTACTCTTCTTCTTTTAGGGCTGCCTCCTGAACCCTCTGCAGCAGCTAAATATCTTGCTGCAGCGTCTGATGGAGGCCTCTTACGAGTACCTGCTGAAGGTCCTGGCTGAGGTGAGGAAGGAGGTGAAGATGAAGGTGATGAAGTGTCTGAAGATGCACCGCCTTCAGCAGGAGATGAGGGGGATGCACTCCCGCTGCTGCTGCTGCTGCTGCTGCTGCTGCTGCTGCCTTCTTCATCAGAAGAAGAGCCTGGATCTGCAGCTGCCTCGGCAAAAGAGAGGTAGGGGTCAGAGCTTTCATTTATTAACGCATCGTCTCCTTCTGAATACTCTGCTTGAATAGCAGATAAAGAATGTGAAGGAGACAGAGCTGAGACAGGGGGTGAGAAAGTAAAGAAGGCTGCAGCAGCAATAAAGCTAGCTAGCAGTAAGCAACAGGGGATAGGACGCTTCATTGTGGTGTCTATACACTGTGAAAGAAGAGAAAACTCAAGAAAAATATTATAATTTAACTCAAAATATTCAATAGAATTAAATTCACACTGAATTTAAATGAAGAAACATCTCTACAACTGCAAATATATACTTTTTATCACAGCAGCTGTACACTGAGTCAATAGCTAAGGAGGGAGACCTCGCCATTGCTGCTGCTAGCTTAAATTGCTGTCTTCTTTTGCTTCTTTTCTGCTTATTTTCATTTAAAATACCTTTTTATTTACCTTTTTTTCATTTACTCTCTTTTATTTTAATATATCTACGCTTTTTTACTGCTTAATTCTCTACTCTAAGCTGTACGTACACCTCAAATCTCTAGTCGTGCCACCGCTACCCACCGGTCTGCTGCAAATTGCACAGCAGCACCGCCAATTGAAGAATAAAAACAATGTAAAAACATAAAATTCTTTCTTTTATGAGTTTTACTCTTTTAAATGCTGCATATTGATATATAAATTACTCTATAACATCCTTAATTACCGGCAAACTCTGCTGCTTTATATATGCAGACATCAATGCCTCTCGATGGAGGCCGCGCCCGTCTTTGTCTCTCTTCTTCTGCTGCGTGTTCGGCCTATTTATTTAATTTAATTTAATTTAATTTAATTAATTTAATTTATTTCAATTTATTTAATCTTTTTTCACCCTTAAAAACAAAAGAAAAAGCAAGCCCGTCCTCACTCAGTATGGACGCCTTCTGCTGCCGACTGTAGACAGCAGATATATACAAAAAAATATATATATATTTTCATACATTTAATCTTTATCTCTATTTAATATATATATATATATACTGCATAAACAATTTATATTCATATATGTTTAGATCTATGTAGATATAT